ATATAACTGCGATTTGAGTTCTCCTTTTCCAAAAAAGTATACCACCGTCAAAATCATATAACCAAAGTGAAGAAGAAGAAAAATCACCTTGACCCTGTTTAAAATCAACCAATTAGAATAATGTTGACAAAATAATTTCATTTTATGGAAATTTGTTGTTTTAATGATAGGTTGAGAATGATAATATAATTTGTTGTTAAATTGACCTAAAAATATTTTGTTGTGATCATTTTTGCCAGTGCCCAACATAGAGAAGAGAATATATAAAAATTCGTTTCACAACACAAGAAATATACGAACTCAGAATTCTGAACTCCGAGTTTTAAAAAAATAAACTAATCAAATAACTTTTTCTCCAAATAATTGATCAATTCTTAAGTACAATTAATTATAATTGGATTTAAAGTTATGAGCCCTATATTATTGGCGGATGGTATTGTGCATAATTTCAGGGAAGAATACTTCCATCAAATATTCCAACAAACCAAAAGCATCCAAGCAATAAAAGTACATAGGTACAAAATGGTAAATTTATCGACAAAATGTTCAAATAATCAGGAAGAAAGAAATAGATTTGTGATTAATTTATTAGCACAAAAGGAATAATCATCGAATCACTGCCAACTTCATACCAAAAAAAAAAACTTTATGTTGTCTATACTATAAGTAAATTTAAAAATATATTATGTTAATATCTCGTTCCTTGCAATTCAAGAATCTGTCTGTCTAACGACAAATGAGAACTTCACAAAGTGCGAAACTATGCGAACGAACAAGTATACTATTATATTAAAAGGAAGGATAAATTAACATTACTTTACAAAAAGAAAAATTGGAAAGACTAAATGTAGCTTAGAAGATAGCTAGTGATGCTATATTAGGGTAGTAACCTGTCAAAAATCTAGGGGCTTTGCTTTCGCATGAATTTGCCACAAAGAGTAGTGTTACTACACGTAGTTGACCAAATCTTATTTTGTTGATAATGTTTGAGCCTTTTATAAATTAATTCTATCAATGTTCAAGAAAATGGTAAAAAACGGATAAGATATCTTCTTAGACGACGTATTTTTTTGTTGAGAAATTTCAAAAGATACTATTCTTTAATTACTACTTTACAGAAATATCACATTTTTGAAATCTTTATAAAAATGTCATTTTTTTTAAATTATTTTTTTTTTATATATTATTTATGTTTGGGTTAATTATGTTCTATTAGAGTTTAGTTATGAAGTTTTAGGGGGGGTTTAGGAAAGTTTAGAGCATTTTTGCAAACGAACATCTCTAAATGGCATTTTACAAATGTGCACATAAAAATGACATTTTTGCATTTTCTCTTTTTTCTTTGACATAATTTTTCAAAACTTTTAAGGAAAATTAGGAGAAATAGCCAAAAAAAAATTATAATCAAAATTCTAACCAATTAACCTAAATTTAATGGACAAAATTATACCATATATACTATTTTTAATTAGTTTCTTAATTATTAAATTTTTTTGGTTAGTTAGCATATTAACCCAACTTTTAATCAATATGTACTAATATGTACTAGACTTGGAGTTCAAGAATGCTTATGATATTACCTTAGACTATATTATATATAAAAATGTTATTCTATAAACGTCTAAGCCGACTAAAAATTATTTCAATTTCTAGTATGCCGTGAATATTAGACCTAGTGTATCTGTATATAATGTTTGGTTAATTACGAATTAAAGTATATCGCTTAAAGATAGTCTAAAATATATATATTATTTTCGCCAGTTTGAAATCAAATTTTATGGAAAGATCGATTACGAAGCGTGTTTAAATTTTTTTTTTTTTTTTGCTAAAATATGTTTAAAAGCTTTACATCAAATATATCTGTAATCATTATTTTTCTTTAATCTCTATCTGAACTATTGATCTTCGTTTGACGATTGTTAAAACGAAGTTGAAACTCGTATTAATTCGACGTCTTTCGCCATTTTTCTTACTCTTTGTCATTAAGCCACATCCACATGCATCATGCATGGACAAAAAAGTTAGGCAATAACAGTATGTAGCCACATGTAAATTACATATATGCGATAATTACCTAATTTTTTTAAATATAAATTATGATTGGGGCTATACTATATATGTTATAATAAAATCGATTATTGTCGCATACTCGCATTATTAATTATGTATTTTTGTTACGTCAGAAACGAAGCCCGTTGAATCCTAAATAGTTGAAAGGTGGAGACAAAAGACCAAAATCCACACACAG